TGGTAGTGAAAGTTTTTCACCATTATAACAATTGTTTATATATTCAAGATCCTGACGATCTAATGAAACTACGAGAGTAGAAGTTTCTGTCATTTAGCACAAGTGCTATGCTTGATCAAAGATCCTGTAGATCTGTGAATCCCAAGCAGGTGTTTCACCGATGAAGCCATGTTATTCTTCACGAAATCAAGAAATTTGATTCTACTATTTTTCGAATAAATCCTTTCGGTGGGCATCCAAGAATCTTAAACGTATTGGGGGCATTATAACTTCTATAGTAATTCCTACCGTATCCTATATGCAATTATGCTTGAAGTTTGTTGATATATATTTTTACAGTAGGAATGATGTTTATTTAATAATTACATTGTATTTCAAAACACTTTATTTTTATTTGAGTTTTTTCCAGAAATAGCACCTTTAAATTTTTTTTTACAAAACTAGCACCCTTCCAAAAATATTTACAAAACTAGCACCCTTTTTTATGGACCGCACCCTAGAGGTGCGTTTTACATATAAACCGCATCCTCCAGGTGCGTTTTGTATATAAACCGCACCTGTAGGGTGCGGTCCATATTCCTGGGCCGAAATCGCATCTTGGCCATGCGGTTTCGACTCTGCCCTACACAAACCGCATGGCCGAGGTGCGGTTTTGGCATGACCTAGCCAAACCGCATCCTAGAGATGCGGTTTGTTCCTCCAAAACCAAACCGCATCTCTAAGGTGCGGTTTAACTACACAGACCGCACCCCCCAAGTGCGGTCTGTGTGTCAATAATATTCCGACACCCGACAAACCCATGCAGAGAATTATGGACGTAGGGCTGCATGGCAGACTAAAACCGCACCTTAGAGGTGCGGTTTTCCTCATTTTTTTCCCTATATAAGACTGCCGGAAAACCTCTACTCTTCACACCTCTCCTTCTCTCTTTTCATTTTTCTGTTGTATTCCTATATTTCTTTAGTGTTTTTGCCATTAACATTAACTCGTAAGTTTATTTTGTGTTACTTTTTATTGTTATTTGTGATTTGTGATTTTTATGATATTAACTGAACTACGGTTTTTTTGTGTGCAGATGGCATTCCGTCAGTTCACGCTTGGCTTACGGTGGAATGGTTACACAGAAGAGACCGGAAAGGGGGCCACCTACGTCGGTGGCAATTTTCAGAAAATAACGGTCGGTACCAGACCGAAGCTTGAAGACCTCCATCAAATATGCACTAACGTTACTTGCATGGATGGCACGAGAAGAGTAGATCGAATGGTGTACCGATATCCAAACAGAGAAAGTGGGTCATTGTGGCATGAGGAATATACCATAACCACTCAAGATGAAGTAGATTCCATGCTCGAATTCTTGAGGTCCAACAAATTGGCCAAAGCCGAGATGTTCGTTTACACCGAGCCAGCCGTTGGTGTTGGAGGTCATTCTGGACACGGTCAAACATCTGGTATCCATGGTGGAGGTGAATTATATGGCAATCATCCCTACCAAAGTTACCATGATCCTCATTCCTATTTTCAGTACCAAGATGGAGGGCAAGGTGAAGGCCATCATCAATCTTTCCCGTCATATGAAGAAGAAGTTCAACCGGACCTCGGCAACCAACCCCAGTACAACTTCCAATCAGGCAGCGGTAGTTTTCACAACTACCATTATGGAGCTGATGAAGGTGCCTTTCATGAGCTGGATCAGATGGAATCTCCCATGGCAGCACCAGTCAGCGACCCCTCCGATGAAGAAGGAGAGAACAACGTCAGTGCAGACAGCTCCGACCCTCTTGAAGGTGCTGATGATTCAGGACCAGAGTCAGATTCAGATAATGATCATGATGTGGCTCCTGACCGTGTACCAGTCCCCTACTACAATCACATTCCAGACGACAATTGGATGGTCGACAGCGACATGGAGCCCCCAGAGGTCCCAATATGGGGCCCACTCACTGGGTTTACGAAGGGCCAACAATTTGGCTCAATGACTCGCCATTTTGAATGGCACAAAACTCATTCCAACACCAAAAGGCTCACAGTCAGATGCCGTAATCATCACGAGGGGTGCAATGTTAGGATTCGGGCCATCAACAGCAAGAGACACGGCCACTGGGTCATATCCCGTGCGGTGAACACACACACATGTGTGTCATCCATAACTTCCCAAGGCCATCGACAGTTGAAATCCAGGGTGGTTGCTGCGGCTATCAGGCATCTGATTGAGGCTGAACCGGATCTGAAGGTTAAAGTCATAATCGCTGACATTGTAAGTCGTTATGGTTATATGATTAACTATAAGAAGGTGTGGCATTGTAAGTCATTACGGTAAGGGGATGACTCTCGTAATGGTCTCTAAAATACTTCGTCAACCATGTAATTGAGACTTGGTGTTTCCTCATTGGTGGCATGGGATCGGTCGCATCAACGCAACCCTTCACCGGTACTTTCACTCCCAAATGACTGTGGATGAAATGAACCCAACCGGGCATACCGTCACGATCCTCGGGGGGATGATCACTCACGCACACCGGTTTGCCGTCGATGGGCAAGGATGGCGACATCCTTTAGCGTGATGGTGGCCTCTCCTTCTCTAAAGTTGAAACAATGGGTCTCCTTTATCCATCTCTCGGCTAATGCGGTGATGAGTTGGCGATAAATTTGGATGCCGTTAAAATGCCTAATCGAGTCTAACCGTGCCCTTTTGAGAAAGGGCAAGATAGCTGGGTGGAATGGGAGCACATTGGTGGTACCCCTGTAGCGGATTATTGTTTGTGCCTCCTAGCAAAAATTTACACGTTAATTATTATATATTAGTAAGGGTTTTTTTTCTTATAACTAAATTAATTAAATTAAATTATGCGACATCAAGCAGAATTTTATTATCATAAAAAGACATTTCATATTATCATATTATCATAAAACAAACGTCCTAAATTAATTAACATAATAACATTGTCAATGAATAATAATTTAAAGAGGTACATACATATTATCGTAAAACAAACATACTAAATTAATTAACATAAATAACATTGTTAATGAATAATAATTTAAATAGAAACATACATATCAAATGTTTGAAATTAATAAAATTCTTTTTGTGCACATAAGAATAAATCGTATTGGTTGTTTGGTAAATAATTTAATCGTATTGGTTGTTTTAAATAATTTAATCGAATACAAAGCAACACACATTAGACTCTTAGAAGAGGTATACATCTTCTTAGAAACGCAGTCTTTTTGACAGAAAAAGGGGGGATCCGAGGATCTCTTAATACCCGATTTTCCCAGGTAATGGGAGGATATGATAATCGCTTAAAATCCCATTTCCTTAGACGTGCATCTCTCTATAAAGAGTCGAAGTAAGTGGCGCTATGTATTCGATTAAATTATTGAAAACCACCAACACGATTAAAAAATCAACATAAATTTATTTTATATTACACTAGGCACATTAACAAAATAAAAGAAGTGATGAAGAATTGTATGTACCGGGTGAGCGTTCCAAACATCCCCTGACCGATGGTTGGGTTGGTCGTACAAGTCGGTTGGATCCAACGATCCTTGCTCGAGATAATACCGTTGGTTGTATATATCGACGTCCTCCCCAACCTTCGAGAAAATAACAACGAGGTTAGTACATAGATTAATTAAAAAACTTATAACAACAACAAAAATTAAACCAGAATAATGAGTACATACCGCTTGAAATTCATCAACATAAACTCCCTCTCCTTGCCACCAATCGGCCATTTTTTCGGCGCAATTCGGACAGAGCTTCGGCTCGGCTCGGCGGGTTTTGAGGAAAAAACCTAAGAAATATTTTTTGATAGCAGATCGGACTTAGCCGCAACCAACAGACTTTTATTTCCTAGGCTTTTGGGAGGGGAGGGTTTAGAGAGATAAAATCTAGAGAGAGAAGGAAGAATGGGTTGTGGTGTGAAGAAATGAGAGGGGAAGGGGGGGTATTTATACCCATCAGACCGCACCCTCAAGGGGCGTTCTTGTAATTTTCCCCTCGCAGAAACCGCTCCCTTCCGATGCGGTTTGCGAGTCACGAGGCGTTGATCGCTCTGCTGGCGCGCGGTCCGCCGTCTGATCGCTCCACCATCCAACGGTCTTGAAGACCGTTCCGCAGAGAAAGCACACCGCACCTTGGCGCTGCGGTTCGTGTGCTGACGTGGCACGGAACGCACCTCTAAGGTGCGGTTTACACATGAAACGCACCTGAAAGGTGCGGTTCACCAATAAAACACACCTTAGGGGTGCGTTCCGTTAGAAAAGGTGCTACAATTGTAAATATTTTTATTTGGGTGCTAGTTTTGTAATTTTTTTAATGGTGCTAGAATTGGAAAAAACTCTTTTTATTTTGACCATCTTGCATGCACTTCCCTCGTTTACAATACAAATCCTGTAATAATGGTCATAACTGAACTAATCAATTATTACACTAGCTTGAACCCGACCCGTTGGCCGGATAGTGTTAAATTATTTTCATATATTATTTAAATCTAATTATTTGTCGTTGGATTGTGTATACAGATGTATCGTATAAACACAGAAGCCGCTCTGCTGCAGTACCAGTTGTCGGAATTTGAAAGACAAAAGTCACCAGCGGCTTGCAAATTGCTTGCAGTCACAACCCAGTTGACAGGCATCAACAGCAGCAAGAATAATAAGTCATGTAAAAGTGAGAAACTCACCATTCATTAAATAATGCATTGATGCAGAATAAGTATCGCATTCCCACAGAGACAGAGCCATTTCTATCTCTATCTCACCGTCTTGTATTCACATTATAAGCATATAAAATGTTGTTAAATACAGGGCGTTTGCTACGTGAATACAACCCGCGTGATGACAGCAAGAACCAAAATCCAACCCACCATTACATTACATTATATCATACAAAACAAAAGTCTACCCAAACTTTACAAAACCCAAGGATTGTACCCACAAGTACTGATACGAAATATAGGACCAAACACAAATACACTATATAATAAGATTGACCAAAAGGAGACCACTATCCCTCATAAGAGCACAGAACATATATATATACATCATCAAAGAACCCAAATACTAAAATGTCTTCAAACAGGAAATGGCATAGCCAATAGCATAGTAAGTTAAGTCCAAATATAAAAAGCAAACACATTCGTCCATTGTCAACTTTTGTAAAAGATGAGATCCAAATACTTAGTCGACAAACCAATATTCTAGTCAACCACTCAGAGTAATTGATCCTGGCTCTTCCTCTTATAGTTCTTCTTTGCAGATGTTGCAGCTTCTCTGGCAGTATTCGGATCTTGATTTTCATCTCCTGCATCTGACACAACTCTAGCCTTCTCACCAATACTTTCGACTCTCACTTTATCAATTCGGACCTCACTGTTAGGAGTAGGATTTTCAGAGGGCTCGACCGTAAGCAACTCATTTACTTCATGGTCACTGCTCATGCTGCTGGCAATGGATTGGGATGACGAATTCGCTTTATCAAGTGCAGAGAGAGATGGCTGCATCAAAATAGATCCATTAAGGAAAGTTTAAGTACAGTCTCTTAATCTGTAATCCCTACACAGCCATGTATTGTGTATAGACATCAGCATACAGTTGAGCATCAAGACTTTCCAGAAGAGTGTTAACACATTCCAATATTGGTCCACTACATTATCCACCGAATAGAACTGTATTTGTATACTTAGAAAGAAGAAGTATTTGACAAACTAAATTCCCAAAATAGATATCAATATAAGCATATACGAAAAAACAGCAGGATGAACTAAGAAAATAAAAATAAAAACAGCCCCTAACGTTAGCTATAAGATAATCAGAAAAACTAAAGTAAGACCACAAACTATGTTGTATCGTACTAACAAAATGCCAAACCTGGAGTGCAATAGCAGAGTGAATGGTGGTCATGTTGGAATGAAGATCATTAATCTGCAGAACACTGAATTCATGTGCTGAAGTTTTGAAATTGTATTCCTTTAGGATAACCAGGAATTGCAACTCAAGCTTTTGAATCTTGGCAATAGTAGATGGCACAACGTTGCTGTCGTTTTCCGCATCAGCAAACAGGGTTTGAGCTGAGATACCAAAAAATCTCTTCCCTTCCTTATCCAAAATCACAAATATTGCCTCGCCTGATAAATCTGAAACAACAAGTTCTATTCTGAATCTGGTCAACAATAAACCAACCAGACGTGTTAGGTGTAACTTCTAATTGGACACAAAAACAATCAAATTTGGTAATCAACATGCCGAGAACCTTTTAAATGAATGATTCATTGTCAACCGACACTTCTTGCAATAAAACTTAGTTGATTCAGATTCTACTTTGCAGAGGCATTTCTCACAGCCATCATAATGCCATTCAGTGAAGACGTCGTTGGCTTTGCAATTCACAGCAACTATCTTATTCTGCTAGTGAAAAGATGAAAGGATATAAGAAACAGACAACAGCACACTTTTTCCATAAAGCAAAAACTTTTGTTAACTAATTCTCGAACATTTTAAAAACAAAGTTTTTGACTTATTTTGAGTGAACATATGAGTGTTGCACAGCGTGCTAGTCTGCATCACCTGATTAGCATAATCCGAGGCTAGAGCCTTCAATTCTTCAATCGAAAGTGGGCCAACCACTTGACGTTTCTCTTCCTCAATAAGTTTGGGAGCAGTATCAACAGTTCTGAATATAAGAAATAATAAAGTAATATAAACTCATACTTGCGTCAATAGTTCATATTTCCACCAGAATAGCAATAACAAAAAAAAAAATGTGAACCTTTCTTTAAGGACATTGACTTCATTCAAGTTCAAGCGATCATAAATAATAGTAGCACCAGATGATGACAACTTCAGTTCCTCTAGCAAAAAAAAAAAAAAAAAAAAACAGATAGCAGTAAGGAAGCTACAATGAAATGTATTTTATGTATCTTTAACCCACTCTATCAGCATTTGAAGATGGACTCTTACCGTTCCACTCAGACACAAAAACAGAGGTTATGACCATCACAACATTCCGATTATTAGAAGCCTCGATTATTTTCTCTAATGTACTTGGAAGCCGTCCCCACAAAACCACTTTCACCGAAATTCCCCTTATCAAAAACCAATAAGTGATGGTAAATATAAATTCAGCAAAAGTAACAGAATTTATTTCATAAGAATGGGGTTTGACATAACATACTCAAGCAGCATGATTGTAATTCTTTGTGCTTTGAATTCCGATTGGTTGAAGTTGATTCCCTGGTGCGATAATGTTCCTTGAGCTGTCCAACAACATCTATGCAGAACAATGGTCACCCATTAACTAACAACTCAAACAAACTATTTGGAATTGGAAGCAGTACTAAAGTTGAGGTTTTATGTATTGGCACTACTAACCTAGCAAGAGAGTACGCTGACCGCGATTAGGATACATGTCTTCATGTTTGAGAAACCTGAAGCAGTGCTCCCTAAATGGAGGTACAACATCTGCAGCTGGGACCATGGTTGTTCCGGAAGTGAATTCAATGAACATATCACCTGGAACAGGACGAAATCCCTTCTCTTCTTTGACAACATCAAAATTCCGAATTAAGTATGTCTTCTGCTCTTCGATCTTACCCACAAATTTGTTCATCTTTGTCTTCGGTACTTGAATCCAAATTGCATCACCCTGTTAGACAATGATGTGAGTGTATCTATTGGCAGGCAAAGATAATTTGCAATTAATTAAGGCGCCTACCTTAGCATCCAGAGCGACCATGTCCAGGCGGAGGATTTTGTATGTGTTTGTGCTTCGAGCTGTCCATAACCTTGAAATTCGGCAGTGCAGCACCAATGACTGCTTGCCTATGGAAAATTCGGAGATCAAATTCGATTGCATTATTTGGGGAGAGACAACAACAAAGGTAGGAATTTCTGGTAACTCTCGACAAACAAATATGCAGAAGAAGAACCAAGAGTATTTATATTGAGCAAGAATGAGATTACCGAAGAGTAGGGAAGTTATGATAATGAAAACCGCCGGATAATAACTGTTTATTGGATCCACAAAAGCCACGTTCCCGGAGTTTCCTACTCCCTAGACAGGCTGGAAACCGCCTTAATCGTGTCTGATTGCATATCCGGCACTTGCGCCACGATTGCAAAGCCGTCGCCGTTGAACCTGGGAAGACAGATCGTGCGGCAGTTGATGGTGCCGACAGCGGTAGTGGGACGAAGGAAATACATATCCCAATCTCCCATTGTAAAAAGGTAGCGGTTTAACAGTGCCCGGACTCTAATTTGGGCCTTTACCCTCTGTTTGGGCCAATAATTTGGTTCAAAATGTTGACTAACAATTTTGAAAGGTAAGAAATCAACAACTCCATTTTTTTATAACCAAACCAACAACTCCGTTGCTTGCACCACTTTTGCTTTGTACGAAAATTTAATCTTAAAAACAATGTTAACAAAGCATGGTGCGTACTGCTTAGTTGATTAATTAGCAAAGCCATGTATTTCTGGAATGAAGTCATCAATTATCTTTTAACCATCTCCATTCAATAACTTCGGTTAGTCCATAAAACAATTAATATTACCATCACTTTTGAGATAAATTAATATTTGCCTAATTGGTTTGTTTTTCAAATGTTGGTTATATTTTAAGGCAGGTAGTATCATCTAATTAATAAAATTAGGAAGTTATATTATGGCTTCCCGACCACTATTGACAATGGATTTTACTTTACGGCTTCACGACCACAACCCATGGCGAGCAAAGCAAGCACAATGGATTTTCATATTTACATTTTTGTACCTACGATTTAGTTGTATTATGAAAATATCGCTGACAAATTACGGTTTGGCACTAACCGCTTTCAGTTTTCCATAGTAAAATCTAAACTTTTTCCTGTTAGTGGTAATTCTTAATACAGAATGGATTTACGATATCTATAATGATAGTGGCAAACAAATTGGTATTGTTTTATGTTATCATAAGATTGTTGCAATTTGCAATTCACTCCAAACATATTGTATGCATGAGGAGAATACATTAGACGCTTAAATAATCATTATAAAATATTTACAAATTTTGAATAATCACAAATCTAGTCTATTTGCGTAATACGAAAAATAACATGAAGGTCCAAAATAGAAAAGCATGACACATTATCTCATTGTTGATAGCATGTTACTCAATTCTCCAAAGGCAAGAATAATTTCACCAACAGAAGTTCACAATAACCAAATGCATTGTTCCAGGGACCGACTGTAACCATGACTTCAAATGTTTGTCCTCCAAGCATGTTTAGCAGAGACATATAATCAGTATTGACAACATCTGCAGGACTGAAAACAGATCCAACAATCGCTCGTAACTGTGATGACGGGAATACAATATCAACACCGATAAACTCATCCTCAATTGTGAGGTGGACGAAATGGAGTCTGGATGTAGTGGACCAGGACGTTGTTAACTCCGTTACACATCCGGATAATAGAAAAGAGGTTCCCTAGTGAAAAAGCATAAATACATATGGTGAAAGCAAATCGGAAAAATGCATCATGACACAAAAGTCGTATGATTCATAATACATTTATTCATTTACTTACCTGATTTTCAACATCCAATTGCAACATTATGAGATCGATGCTATCGGCACGCTCACAAATATCAAGAGCATCATCATATTGCAGATTAGCAATAAACCCATGGGGAAGCCTATATACTCGAATGTAAGTTTTGGCACTAACCAATAGAAAACAATCGAAATGAATTTATTTAGTATCGTTAGATACATGATCAGTACTTACTGATTGAATTGTGGTAGCCCTGCCATGTTGAGTGCAATTGCCACGGTGATGGGAGCCTCAATGATCTGTTTAGAAAGTAATACATGAACTTGGAATATGTATTGGCTATATATAAAGGAGACTTGACCGTGGATTCTTTGTGGAGTTCATGGGGGACGTGGGTGAATAATGGGTGTGAGTTTTATATTGGCAGGTAATGGTAGGATAAAAACGTGGGAATGGTAAAGTTTGGTAATGGGTTTACACATAGATAGTGGGTTTACGGGAACGTAATATAAAAAAATTATTTACGGGTATTTTACGTCGTCTCTAAGTTAATATTACCTTTAATAGTACGGTAAAAGTTGTAAATACATAAAAGTTGCTAAAATTTAAAATAAATAAAGATATAAATAATAATAAAATTCACATTGTAATTCATCAAACACTGATATTAAACATGTTAGACAGCTTTTATACATGTTTAATACATCAGCCATCAAATTCACAAAAATATCCACGTATGGAATTAGTTAAAAAAGTATGCAAATTGAAAATTAATTGTACTGCTATGACCCAACATAGAACAATTATCTAACCAGTAACCAACGGGATCAATTTCTCCCAACATTAGCAAGATTAGAACTTACAACCATGCGATATGACTTTATTAACTTCAAATTGACCACTTCATTTTGTAATACAATAATTACCAACCATGCAATATGACTTCTTAACAATTCAATATTTAATAAACAATTTCACTTTTCAATTTAATAATTCAATATAAAACTTCACCAAAACATCACAGGTAAAAAAAAATTAAATAAATAATAAATGGATACATCTTTTCAAAAAAAATTAAATATTCAGTAGACCATGTTTTGAAAATATATCTTTCCCTGTGAGAGACAACAATAAGTATAAATGTACACCTCAAACAGATGGCACTAATCTAGAATAGAAATAAATTTTGATTCTTCTTGATTCCCCTTTAGAAAGTGATAATGGAATTCATCCTTAGTTTTTTTATTTCCATTCATTTGAATCTCTTATATTTCAGCAGTTTTGTCGGGATCCTCTCTTTCTTCGGAAAAAAGGGAAGAGTCCCCCTAATGGCCCACATAGCATGCACATTCAGTTGACCATTCTATTTCCACATCGTTTACATTTCCACGGAGAATCGCATAGGATGTTCAGTGAACAACAATACAGAAATCGAACCTTACAAATGAGCATAAACGGTTCATCAATCTCATAATGACAAATAACCAGAGAAAAAAGCCCTTTGAAAATAGTTTATACAACATATAAAAGTGAAATGCTTAGCCATATCTGTCTCCGCAACCACACCAGCAGCAATACGACTGAAGTTGACATAGGGAATGACAACTATCACCACTATCAATAGCCAAATCGGGGACCACTTTCCCTGATAATAAAGAACCACAATCACCACTATGAATAGATATGACAATAAATATAAATTAAAGTTGCAAACATAGCAATTTGTGAAGCTTACTGATTTAACAAAGGATGCAAATGAGGGCAGTGGATGTTTAGATACATCTTTGTTGCTCGTGAGGAAAAAAACGAATAACCTCCTAACATCAATTTAACAATAAAACAACACACACATTAGCACCAAAAATTACAATTATAATAGATATTATAAATTTTCAAAGGTACATATTCAAAACTATCCAAAATTTAAACACTTGATGGAATTGAGTATAAGATCTTATATAACATATCGCCTCCCAAGTCAAATTTATAAAAGGCAATCCGTATAATTACATTTTATAAGCATAATTAGACTAACCAGTGGCTATGTGAATTTGGACTATTCATAAAGAAGTAAACCGTGAACTTTCTAGTAAGAAAATGGCAGAAAATAGTGGCACCTTCGGCTTGCTCAACGAATAGTGATGTGAAGACCGCAATCTGCCCCAAAGCTCCAGTGTCAGAAACAACTTGTTCAAAACTTGGTCTTGCCGACTCCGTCAAATAAACATACGCAATCTCGCCCCTATAAAAAAGCAAAAGAAGTTGGTCATATAAAATATGATTTTTTTTATAGAAAGAACATAAAAAAAAAAAACCAATGTACGAACTCAGGCAGTAAGAGTGTGATTCGCTTCTTCCGAACGGGTAAACCTGGATAGAGAACCTGAACAGGTTGACATCCAAATATAGTTCCAACCAGATCTAGCAACAACAAACCAAAAATCCGTTTGTTAAGATGTGGGGTGTAACAGAAATAGATTTCTTTCAGTCTGCTATTAGTTTGAACCTCATACCCGGCAGATAAACTTGATTCTCAAATGCGTAAGGGATGTCCCTGAAAAGAAGAAAACGGAAACTGAATTTTTCAATTTCACCCGTGTCCTCCATGAAAGACAACAGAGTATCCGCACGAAACGCCAACCGAAAATCCGACATTGCCACTCGATGAGTAGAGCTGTTCTCTTCGATATCAAACAACCTTACTCCATAAACACGGCCCTCATGAAGACTTGATAGAAATCGATGTAAATATGGTCGCCGAATGATGGCTTCAACCAATTGACCCTGCAGTGTCAAGGAAAACGAATTAATGTCTGTAAAACTGTTACTGGGAAAGATTCAAGAAGAACTAAAACACTGACCTGTTTGTCAATGAATAATAGATTAGCTTGTTGAAGTGAATACCCCGTATGAAATAACTTCCCCCATAACCTTAGCAGACGTACTCGCACTACCAACGTTGCGTCCTGGACATGACGAACAGACACAGGCTGTACAGACATGCTTATGAAATTTGATTGCCACAATGATTGATGAGTTATGAGTTTTGGGATGAAAATAGAATTGTGGACGTGATGTATTTATAGGAAGCAACCCTTAAACAAAGGTTGCAGTTAACAAAAAAATCATGAGGTGTGGATAGCTACCATGCGTGCGAGAATAAGGGTTAGTGGGGTAGTGGGGTACCTACAAATGATTTTATAATTATTTTCCAAAATCTATTTGTTTAGGGTTTTATTAAATTCGTCATGCCAATTGTTTAATCGGCCGTGAGACAATGTGGGCCTGGAATAGCTAAAGCCCATATTGTAATTCTCTCAAAGAATACTTATTTCCGACACTAATTGAGATTTTGTAGTCTTGGTGGTTACATAGGTTAGTAACAACTACACCACATGCATAATTACTAACCGACAAATTACAGGAAACTCCACCAATCAATATACAAACAGTAATTCGCTCAGCAAGACGGCCTAGAAAAGACATTGTCCAAACAACACATGTAAATACTGAACGATCTCGAAAATACAATATATCGCTAGTGTATTGGAGTAATTCGACAATGGGTACTTCAAAGATTTACAGCAGGGAATAATTTGAGGAGGATAATATCACATCTACCAGTCCCAGTATTCCACTGCCCAAGTGTAACCAGAAGTTCAAATGTTTTCCCCCGAATATAATTGAGG